AGAACTCATCACTTGTGCTAGAAATGCTAAGACCATGCACATCAATCATATAATTCATATTGGTCAACAATTAAGGCATGAGAAGCCTTCATTACCATGAATTGGTAACGGACATTAGGACCCCAGAATGCGCGTATGAAAAACTATGTTTTTGGCTAAGTGTGAAAAATGGATTTTTGAAATAATGATTATTTCAAAATAATTTTTCCTGGTAATAACTCTTTATACTTCAACTAGCCTAAACTGATTTTATCAGAATTTTTGACCAAGTCTACATTGGTGTACATGCGGATTCAATTTTACCAATACTGTCAGAAATCCAAATTTGTACTAAAACTAAATTTCTACATTTTGATTTAGTTGGATTTCTATTTTCTAGTATTTTTTATTGAATCCAAATGGGGAGTACTTCCTTATTTACATTGTAAACTTAAAGTAAATGGATAAATTAAAGTAAAGACATTTACTAAAATGTTTTCAATGAAAATAAGGTATGTGCAGATGTCCTGTGCACAGACTGTCACACCTGTTAACTTAGTACAATTCATGAGGCAGCAGGTCTATTTCGGTCTATCCAAATTCAGGACCATTATATTTCGGTCTATCGAAATAAGGAATTATGGCTAACCTGAACCATTTCGGTCTACCGAAACATAGAAGGGTTTTACTTTAGTCTATCGAAATAGAGATACTGAGGATGATGACCAATCTTAGAACCATTTTGGACGATCGAAACACAAGGGTGTTTCATTTCGGTCGACCGAACCTTGCCCAGATCTGAATCTAAACGGCTATTTTGCCTTAAACTCCATGCACAATAGCTATATTTTTGAATAGCTGCATCAGAACTCTATAAATAGAGTTGGGGACTTCGGAATTTATAGTTGCTACCATTGAGAAACATTATATAGCATCCAAAGAGCTTTTGTTCTTCATTTTATATCATACTCTCTCATCCCACATCATTCATAGAGTCTTGAGCTTCAATCTATTCATATATATACTCTAGAGTGAGCTGAAAGTTGTGAGCTTTGATTTGCATATCAATCTTTGAGAGATATACTTGTATACAACAAATTTAATCTTCAATTTGTAAGGGCTGGTGTGGCCCAAGGAAGAAGAAGCAAGCTAGCTTCATATTTGTAAAGGTTGGTGTGACCCAAAGGAAGACTAAGAGAGGTTGTCTCTTAGCAAAGTAAAGCAAAGAGTTGTTTCATATAAAGGTTTGCTCTCCACCCGTAAGGAGGTGCCATAGTGGATTGGGAAGTCTCAAGAGGGGTCTTGAGCTAAGGAGTAGGAGTTTCCGAACCTCGCTAAAATTGCTGTGTGAATGTTTGTAATCTCTCTTCCCTTATCTCCTTTACATTTATGCTATTAATTACTTATATCCATATCTTGATTATTGCATAATTGTTAGAGGGTGTTAAGTATAATTTGCAAATCCGAAAATTAGCTATTGTTTGCCATAGACTCTATTCACCCTCCCCCCCCCCCCCCCCTCTAGAGTCAATACTTGGGCAACAGACTTGTTGTGGGTTTTGACCCACCATTGTTATATTTTTTCAGGTCCTCGTTAGTAACAGGATTTGTAGTTATTCGTGCAGATCAGAGACTTGGCATGATCACTCTTCCAATGTCATCGGCGTAGGATTCTTTCTTCTGAATACTTATTTCAGTTTTTAGACATTTATTATTTTCAGTTATGGGATTTTATTAGGGGTCCATGTTTGAGGATTCCCGAGTTGTATTTCTTATGGAGATTTATTCTATGGAGATTTTTATCTGTCTTTGAGAATTAATGGATTTTATTTAATGCAGATAATTTATTTATTTATTTATTAGTTTTCCTTTCACCGATATTATTTCTTTATTAATTATTCTTTTTGTATTTTGTGTTCGATTTAAAATATTAATTGTTATATATCCCCTAACTTTTGGGCTTGGATTTTATCAACCCATGGCCTAGAAATCAGGGGGTTTCACAAATTTCAAACTAGTCAACTTACTCAAATGCTTTCTCAACTTCAAGAACAATTTATGCTCACAATACAAATCTAATTGATAGATATAACATCAATTGGGGAGCAACATAAGAAATTTGCATGTTATCACACAATCTCATTATTTCCAACATAATTTAATCATGTCATTCATCACATAGCACATTATATAGAACATAGTCTACAACCATACACAAAATCAATAATTAAACAAATAAAACTTAACAATTTAACATGAATCTCTAGTTAGGCAGAACCCTAATTGTCATTTACATAATTTGCATCAAATAGGCATGTTAAAGATGGGGAAAAACATGAAACCAACTATCAAAGGAATTTGACAATTAGACAACTCTACCTCAACATATGCAAGAAGCCCCAATTTTCAAAATTCCTTAAAGACCTCCAAATGAAACTTTGCTCTAATCAAATTGAAGCCCTTAACAAGCTCTCCGACTTTGCCTTTTATGACAAAGATCAATTTTAGGTGGAAGAGGGTGAAATCAAGGCCTATAGTGTGTAAAACTTATGTTTGTAGAGAGAGAAAGAGTTTTAGAGAGGGAAAAGGAAGAGCTCGGCTAGGAGAGGAAGGAAATGGCCAAAAAATTAGATTTTTGTGGTCTTAATACTTGGTCTTAGTCAACCTTGGCCCCACCTTTAACTACAAAATTCTAAAAATCCCCGCCACCCCTCCTGTAAATACAGACTATAACATGCCACAATGACACATTTAAGCATATACACACATAGAAATACATCAAATAATAATTAATGGGGTGCAATGAATCTGAAAAATAGTCCCGGGCATAAAAAATCCAAGCGTGGGCCCTACACGGCACATTCCTGGCATGCAAAACGAGGCATTGGGAAAAATAAATGCAAAAAATAAAAATTATAGAACGTCACAGTATTCGTCTTTGGTATCCTGACGATCAGAGTATCAGATTCCGGAGAGGAAGACCAGCTTTTTGTAGCCGCCCCTCTGGACCTCTTGCTCCGTGACCGATTATGGCACGACGTGTTTGGGTTGGCGAACCTATCGTCGAAGCTCCAAACTGAAACGTCCATGATCTCCGATCAACGCGCTTCATCATCAAAACAACAGTGAGCATCTCTTCGGCAACATCAAGTTTAAATCCGGCCATGTCCCAAGTTTCCACGAGCTTCCACTGTATTCTATAAAGAAACCGAGTTTGGAGGTCGATGCAATCACTCGATTTCATGGTTACGCTATTCTCACCGAAGCTGTTGTACTGTTTCTTGGTCGTTGGTAACTTGGAGCTTGTCGCCAGTTTTCTATCGGTCTCTAAATACCTCAACTATTGAGGGGTAATTTGGTAATCAAGAAACACTTTCACAAAATTCCATCATTTTAGAAAAATTGACTATAACTCCATCATTTTGACAGTAAACCTTCAAAATTCCATTTTATAGGAATTATCTCAACAAAATTAGGGGTGTTTAGGAAATCCAGCTTTTTATAGTAGTGATTTTTTAATACTTGTTTTTATTGTATTGATAAGAAAGAATTTTCACATTTATCCTTATTAAAAGACAAAAGAAGTATTGCATAATTTGTGCACTTGTTTAATCAAGTTAATGTGAAAATGATAGTTTGAAAATATTATAAAAAAATCTATTTTTGGAATGAGACATGTATTATGCGACATCATAAAAAAAAATTTAAAAATAAAAAATAGATAATAATTTTGGAACAAAAATAATAAATAATTTTAATCGGATCGAATTACTATTCGATCGAATCAACTAAAATTTATATCCCATTTGTTATAAGTTATTATTTTATCGGCTTCAAATCATTATTAAATTATTGAAATTTTTATGTCATTCGTATCCGAATAATCAGATATTGACACGTCTCGTTTCAATTGACCAAGAGCCAAGGGAATTTTGCTTTTCTACGGAGTGGCTCTCTCTCTCTCTCTCTCTCCCCATGTGGTACAGAACAATGACATTTTCGATGCAATAATACGGTTGGTAGATGCATTAATGCCATGAAGATAAATTTGTTAGTTGAAGGCAGCATGGGTTGCCAACCCCTAATAAAGATTGCTTACAAAAATCTTACCGAAAGTAAATGGTACCCAAAATCACCACGGCACAAAAGAGGATGTATTGATTCTCAATGACAATTTCACTGTCAATGAACTTAATGGCCTCATATAATTCTAAAGTATGAAATACATAAAAATTAAAATTAAAATATATATATATATATTTGGCAAGTTCCCCATCTCAAGAACTTATAACATGAAAATAGATAGTACCGTCCGATCAAAACTTTCAATATATTTATCATTTTAAATTTTTTGGGTTCACATGATTTGAGACAATCTAATAATTTGTCACCTCCTATTATTCAATCTCTATCCATGTGTAGAAATTTAAAACATGATTTGTTTAGAAATGTGATAATCCTAATGCCACTTTTTTTTTCCCTTTATAACAAGATAAATTTAGTTTAGATATGTGAGAATCCTAGTGCCACTTTTTTTTTCCCCTAATAAGAAGATAAATTTAGAAATTTAAATGTTTTTTCTAAGTTGGGAGATCCAATTTTATAAATATAAGCCAAATTCTATATTAAAAAATAATTACATTTGTATAAAATCTTAGAATACAAATATTTTTTATCTACACAAATACAATTTACACTATTAAAATTATCATCTTATCACATCTACATAAATGCCTCTTGCATTCTTTGTCCTCTTTTTTCTAGCTATTTTTCTTGCATCCATTGATTATTATTAAATGGCTCACTAAAAGCTAATCTAAATCATCCTTTTGAAAAGTCATGTCCTTAGGAGCTTCACACATAAGACTCCTTGATACCATTTTGGCAAAAAAAATATATATATATATATATATATAAATTTATATATATAAGAGCAACATCTAACAAGGAGGTTCAATAAATGACATTCATGGCCTCTATTTACTAGCCACTTGAACCTAAAAGCAAAGCACACCTCCATAAATACCAACACTAGTCTTCACCTCTCTCTCCCACTCCAACTTGTTCTCCATTTCAATCACTCATCATCATCTCTCTCTCTCTGGTTATTTTTTAAGATCAAAAAGGAGAATAACATGGGTGTTCTCACCGTCACTGAGGAGTTCACTAGCACCATTCCGGCATCACGGCTGTTCAAGGCCTTGATTCTTGACGCCGACAACCTCATCCCCAAGATAGCCCCTCAGGCAGTTAAGAGTGTCCAGATAATCGAAGGCAATGGAGGCCCCGGAAGCATCAAGCAAATGAACTTCGCGGAAGGCAAGTAAATTATTCATTAGAGAGAGAAATTTTCACAGATTTGGTTTCATTACTAAAGTAAATTAACAAAGTTATCAACGGGCCAATGGCCTAGCCATATTAGCCTTTTACTTCTCAAAAGGAAGTCAGAGGTCCAAATCTTAGAAGAGACATCTCTCAGAAGAGTTGATGTCTCAGAAGAGTTGAAACGTGTGTGAGTACTACCTAAAAAAAATTAACAAAGTTTGAATTTCCGTCAACCTCTCTCTTTGCAGGTAGTCATTTTAAATTTGTGAAGCACAGGATCGACAAGTTGGACGAGCCAAGTATGACCTATGCTTACACGTTGATCGAAGGTGATGCCCTGATGGACAAGCTTGAATCGATCAGTTACGAAATCAAGCTCGAGGCCTCTCCTGAGGGGGGATGCAATGGGAAGAATACGAGCACATACCACACCAAACCCGGCGTCGAGATCAAAGAAGAGGAAGTCAAGGCTGGGAAACAGGCAGCCGCGGGTATCTTCAAGGCTGTGGAGGCCTACCTCTTGGCAAATCCTGATTCCTATGTTTAATGTGCATGCCTTTGATTGAGACACTCTACTGTGTGGGCTTGTGTGTGCTTTGTAGCCAAATCTACTTCTTTGGCTTCATAATAAATGTCTTCAAAATAACAATAATATAGCTGCTTGTGATGTTTGATCTGAGTGTATATGGTGAAAGTTGATTCATTTACTTCAGATATGGTGACTTCAGTTGTTGATGTTTGGCTTTAACAAAGTGCCCATATCTCTTAATTTATTGAAATTTTTGTGTAAGATGTTATTGAATCTGTATTTGCAACTCAAGAGCACACAACACACAAATGACACATACATATAACCAAAAAACAGTGAGTTGAAGGCGAAAAAGGGGCAAAACAAGGAGAGAGGATATTTTAGAAGATCCAATTTTATATCACATTTTTTATTCTAGATCATTTAGCTCATTTGGTGCCAATTCAAATGGACCTACGAACACCTTCGTAGTCCAACAGTTGAGTTGTTCCCCGTTGTTCTTGAGAATCCTGTTTTGACCCATGGCATCTCCAACTTTTAATATAACATTCTTGTGCTGAAAAAGGAAAGGGAAAAAAAAAATTCCAAATATTGAATCTGAATTTGCAAGAACACACACAAACACATACAATACACAAATGACACATACATATAACCAAAAAAATAGTGACTTGAAGGCAAAAAAGGGGCAAAACAAGTAGAAAGGATATTTTAGAAGATCCAATTTTATATCAAACACAGTTTTTATTCTAGATCATTTAGTTCATATGGTGCCAATCCAAATGGACCTACTCCAACAGTTGGATTGCTTCCGGTTGTTCTTGAGAACCCGGCTTTGAACTATTGCATCTCTAATTTCTAACATAACATTCTTGCCCTAAAAAAAGAAAAAAGAAAATAAAAATATTCCAAATGGATGTTTTTGTCGTTCCAAATGTAGGCCATTGAACTCAATCTAACAACGCTGTGTTTGATTGGCCCAGTTCATTGAAGCCCTAGAAAGTCCACCAACCCTTTAAACGTGTGGGGGTTTGAAATCAACCAATCTTGACTTTATGATGCCAAGTTGATAGTCACATGGCTTGAATTGATAAAAGTAAGCATTCCAGTATTGTGACCAGCAGGTTCATGGATTTTTCCTACCCAATGGTCCACACGCTCTGATGTTTGAGTAATTTGTGGTCCATATACACATCACCTAAACCTAGTGTTTGGGAATTCCATGACACCCCCTAGTCCACCAAGGAAATTTCTAATGATAATATCCCAAGTAGTTTGGGATTTCCATGCACCATGCGGTGACCAAGTGGAAACTAAAAGTTGAGGTCTTTTCTTTAATATAAAGCTATCTACTTGAATGGTGGATACTTGATCCTAATCACAATGTAAATACTATATATATATATATATATATAGATAGATTTAGTTCAAAGTCTTCTCCTTTCCCTTTTAAAAATTAGAAATTCCCACACAAAGCCAAACAAGTTCTCCCCTTTTTTTCTTACATTCACCGAATCACCATCTCTTCATAGTTCATAAATTTTCTTGCAAGTTCTGTTTGGTGCAAGAGAAAATCAATATGGGTAATATCAAAATCTCCCAAACTTTCAAGACACAAGTTACTCCCTCTAGGATGTTCAAGGCCTTGATCCTCGACTCCCACAACCTCTGCCCCAATCTCATGTTTTCGTCCATAAAGAGCATCGAATGCATTGAAGGCGACGGAGATGTTGGAAGCATCAGACAGATGAACTTCACAGAAGGTTCGTAACTCGGTACTAAACTAGTACTAGTACTAATATATATTTAGTTACACACACAGTATGTGTGTGTTGATTGGTTTTTTTTTCTTGTGCAGCTAGTCCTTTCAGATACGTGAAGCACCGGATAGACGCGCTGGACAAGGAGAACTTCATGTGCAAGTACACTTTGATCGAAGGTGATGCGTTGATGGACAAGCTCGAATCTGTCACATACGAGGTCAAATTCGAGGCATATGGTTACAGAGGATGTATTTGTAAGTTGACGAGCGAGTACAAAACGAAAGACAACGTAGACATCAAAGAAGAAGACATTGAGCTCGGAAAGGATAGAGCAGTTGGGATGTATGAAGTTGTGGAAGCCTACCTCATGGCACACCCCAAAGCCTATGCTTAGAAGAAAAAATATATATATATTATTGTGAAGTATTGCAAATTTGTGTGTGTGTGTGTGTTTTTTTTTTTAAATCCATCTAACAGTACGTATTTTATTTCATCAAAGTTGTGTAGCAATGTTGAATCCATCTTGTAGTCTTTATCTTGTTTGTATTGATTTCCAAATACAGTAAATTAATGGAAAAGATGAAGGTGAGAGATCAGATGACTCGCAAACTCTTTTAGCATAAAATTATACATGAAGATGTATGTATAATTGTGTGTGTAAGGATATTCGGGGACAAACCCATATCATCCAACTATATTATTTTAAGGATATCTCTTTGGCACACTTAGGAGTTGGACACTGGATTTTTAAAAGCAGTAAAGTGTCCCACATCGACAAAAAGATAAAAAAAAACCAATAGTATATATAACTCAAGCCAAACCGATTGTCTCGCGACCTTACTTGACCGGGATCTGTTTCTTAGGCTCTTGACAAGATTTGCAACCCCATTCCTTTTGGTTTTTTTTTGTTAGGTTCAATATGCATAATTGATTCAAATCAAGATTAATTTACCATTTATGATTAGCGATTAGGGGGGGAAATCAAAATTCTGGTCATCATCTGCAGAATATTAACCAAACAAGACTTACCTTCAACATTGTGGATTAAACTTTTCAAACATGACCTTGCAAACACAATGATACTCTTAGTACATTTTGCAACCTAGATATCCAATTCAAGAATCAATAGCCAAGAAAATCTATTACTAATATAATAAATATATTTATTATGAGTTTTTTAGTAAAAGAAAATCTAATTAGACAAGAATTATTAATATACAAAATTAAATAATTTCCCTAAAACTCTACCACTAATAGCTATCTTATTTTCAATAAAACTTTATCACATATAACCTATATTTATCTATTTATTTTGAATACATTTAAAGAAAATAAAGTAAGTTCTATAAAACACTACCACAAATTACCTATTTTATTTTCTTTAAAACCCTACCACATACCACCTATATTTATCTATTTATTATGAGGTTTTAATAAAAGTAAATATAATTAGACAATAATATATTTAAAGAAAACAAAATAATTTCTATAAAACGCTACCACAAATTACTTATTTTATTTTCTATAAAACTCTATCACATTAGACAATAATATATTTAAAGAAAATAAAATAATTTCCATAAAACTCTATCACAAATTACCTATTTTATTTTCTACAAACTCTATCACATTAGACAATGATATATTTAAAAAAAATAAAGTATAACGCAGTTCCAAAAAATCACAAACTCCATACAATAAATTTTTATATCAATTTCAATTTAATGCATGATTAGTATAATTGAATTTATATTTTAAAATTTAATTAAAAATTATTATAATTGAATTTCTATTATAAATTTCAAATTACACTAAATTTCAAATTACCTAATAAAATTCAAATTACAAATTACCTAATAAAATTCAAATTATAAATTACCTAATAAAATTAAAATCTATACTATTATATATATAAATAAGTTTTTAAATATTACCTAATAAAATTCAAATTACAAATTACCTAATAAAATCTAATTAGATAAGAATTATTAATATAAAAAATATTTATTAATTGATATAAAAAATAAAATAATTTATTTAAAACTCTACCACAAATTACCTTTTATTATAATTTTTTAATATTATTAATATAAAAATATATATTTATTAATTTATATAAAAAGAGTTTTTAAAAGAGTTTCTATACAACTTTAACACAAATTACCTATTTATCTATTTATTATGAGTTTTTTAGTAAAATAAAATCTAATTAGACAAGAATTATTAATATAAAAAATAAAATAATTTCCTTATATCTCTACCACAAATAGCTATTTTATTCTCTATAAAAATCTATCACATATAACTTGTATTTATCTATTTATTTTGAATTTATTTAAAGAAAATAAAATAATTTCTATAAAACTACTCTACCACAAATTACTTATTTTATTTTCTTTAAATTACCTATTTTATTTTCTTTAAAACTATATCACATATAATCTCAATTTATCTATTTAGTATGATTTTTTTTAATAAAAAAAAAAAGAAAAAAGAAATATATATATATATATATATATATATATATATATATATATATATATATATATATATCTAATTAGACAAGGATATATTTAAAGAAAATAAAATAATTTCTATAAAACTCTTCCACAAATTACTTATTTTATTTTCTATAAAACTCTATCACATTAGAAAAGGATATATTTAAAAAAAATAAAATATAACGCTGGATCTTCCAAAAAATCACAAACTCCATACAATAAATTTTTATATCAATTTCAATCTAATGCATGATTAGTATAATTGAATTTATATTTTAAAATTTAATTAAAAATTATTATAATTGAATTTCTATTGTAAATTTCAAATTACACTAAATTTCAAATTACCTAATAAAATTCAAATTACATATTACCTAATAAAATTCAAATCTATACTATTATGTATATAAATATGTTTTTAAATATTACCAAATAAAATTCAAATTACAAATTACCTAATAAAATCTAATTAGACAAGAATTATTAATATAAAAAATAAAAGAATTTATCTATTTATTAATTTATATATAAAGAGTTTTTAAAAGAGTTTCTATAAAACTCTAACACAAATTACCTGTTTATCTATTTATTATGAGTTTTTTAGTAAAAGAAAATCTAATTAGACAAGAATTATTAATAAAAATAAATAAAATAATTTTCCTATAACTCTACCACAAATAGCTATTTTATTTTGCTATAAAACTCTATCACATATAACTTGTATTTATCTATTTATTCTAAATGTATATAAAAAAAATAAAATAATTTCTATAAAACTATTCTACCACAAATTACCTATTTTATTTTCTTTAAATTACATATTTTATTTTCTTTAAAACTATATTACATATAACATGTATTTATCTATTTATTATGAGTTTTTTTAAATTAAAAAAAATCTATTTAAACAATGATATATTTAAAGAAAGTAAAATAATTTCTATAAAACTCTACCACAAATTACTTATTTTATTTTTTATAAAACTCTATCACATTAGACAAGGATATATTTAATATATATATATATATATATATATATATATATATATAAAACGCAAGATCTTCCAAAAAATCACAAACTTCATATGGTGTGGCCCAAGTCATGTTGACTAACAAGTTGAAATGTGTTATAGAGTGGCCAAGTTTGAATTTATAAAGTGTCACTACTACCTCTAACTACTAATATAGCTAGGGTGAGTAGGGATCGTCTCAAGGGATTGGGGGCAATGTTAATGTGGAAACAAGATTGGATTAGTAGGTCAAGTAATCAAAAAGATGGTTTGATTGATTAATTAATCTACAATGTAAATAAATTCAATGCAAAACAATTAAAGTAAAGGGTAGAAAACAAGAGAGAGGGATCTTGGGATTTAGAGGTCACCACTAAATACTACCTTTCTAGATACTTAATGTATAATGAATGAGGAGAAATATATGTTGTAACACCAATATGTGTGATTGATTGAATCAACAAGCATAGATGACTAATTAAGTATACATTGTCTAAACAACATAATGAATAGCACAATATATCAAACTAAACCATTATTCCTTCCTTTAAGCTCACAATCAAATACTTTAACAAGTTAAAGAATTATACTACTCGCATTCATAAGCATGGAACATCAAACAACAAGTATGGATTGTCCGCCTTTCTAAGAAAATAAGGCAACTATATTACAACTAAACTAAGAACATGCAAATTAAACTAATTAAACTAAGGTAGAGGCACAATCCATCAAGAAATGTGTATGAACCATCAAACAAGCCACAAGAGTATTCCATTAAAGCACCATACCTTGACAATCTCTAGATTCATAGTATTAACACACATAGACATGCATCAATATCACAAAACCAAAAGATAGATATATAAACATCTATTCTAGCATACTTACATATGAATAGAATGAAATGATCAATTAGAAGTATTAAACAACACAAATCATTGTAAAACAAGATTCATTTATAAATCAAATGTCAAGACAAGATTACAACACAAATCCCCTCAAAATACAAAACATTAAGATCTAGAAGGCATGCTTAGGACTAACTCTAGCCCCAAGAAGATGTTTAGCCACTCATTGATGTAGTCATCCAACCTTCAAGGGCCATCTCCATGGTAGGATTGATCTTCTTCTCCTTGATAGAAACCCTAGATGAATGGAAGAACTCCCAAATGGTGTGTGTATCTTTCTAATCTCTAAGCTCTCTCCTCCACTCTATTGTTGTATGATGATATAAATGGTGTAAAAATGGCTCAAAATCATTATATAGGTAGCTCCAATGTCACACACAATGGTCAGGTCTCGTGCACTAAGGCCCCTTTAATGATTGCATCACGAGCCATCTTTTAATGAGCTGGACTCTGTTTTATTTCGAGCTTGAGGAGATTTGATCGATCGAATTCTGATGAGATCGATCGGATAATGTTCAGATCGATCAAAGTGTGGCAAGATCGATCAAACCTTGGCGGCACCTTTTTGGAATAGGACAAGCCTAAGATATTTTTTGGGATATTTTAGGAAAAAAGACAAAAGTGGTAGGTGGGGATAAGATCAAAGAAGTTCGATCGATCGAAAGGAAAGTTGGATCGATCGAAGATGGAAATTCTTGAGGATAAGGACAAAAGGTTTTATCCATCTTGGTGAAGCTGGATCGATCACTGTGAGATCGATCGAAGATTGGTCTGATCGATCGAAACTTGCTGTTTTCCACCACTTTTCTCCTTTCTTCTTTTCAGCTTAAAATTGTTTCTTTTATACTCTAATTTGGTTAAATTGAGTTATTTTGGAGATAAGCGCCTGAAAAGGGCAATAACATGAAATTAGTCTAAAATGGGAAAATAAGATAGATAAAGGTCCTAGAATACTCAAGCTTAAGGGGTTTAAATGCGCACTTTTCAGTGCTCATCACATCCCCAAACTTAAATATTGTTAGTCCCTAGCAATAAACTACAAAGTAAAAGAATGAAATGAACAACTATACAACTATAAATCTAGAAAGCAATAAATGGATAACGCCACTTTCGTAGGGAACACGATTGCATTTAGCACATGCAACAAGCCTTTTAAATCCCTAGGTTACCCCTAGTG